GGGCAAATGGTTCTTTCAGCTCTGCCCCGCAAATGGAACAGTCTGGTGGGAGGGTATGTGCAGATTTAACATTACTAGATACTGTACGTTCAAATCATGATTCAGAGTACTTGTACTAATTTATACTCTTACAGGGAATGAAAATATTTGTTCTCTACATTCTTGCCAATAGGTAGTTTCCACACTTATTTTTTTTCCAATTCACTTTTTTTAAATTATCTTGTCAAATGTACATTTCCTTGGTAAACAGCTCAGTGGAGTAATTTTTCACGTGTCTCTTGTCCACTTGTGCTGCCTCTGCTGTTACATACCTGTTAATATCCTTTGCTCATTTTTCTGTAGTGTGTTTGCTTTTTCAAACTGATTAATGTCTATTTTAAAGACATTTTCTGAATATTAATCTTTCATCAGTTATATGTTACAAGTATATTTTTTTTGGTCTCTGGATTTTTAAAAAACTTTTTTTTTTACAGAATTTTAAAAAGTTAATGTTATATTTCTCAATATTTTCCTATATGATCTCTGCTTTTGTTTGTTTTATTTACTATAAGAAGTTCTTCTCTCTCCTGAAGTAATAAAGGGATTTTCTATTTTCCTTTAAATGTTTTAAAAATTTGCTTTTCACATTTAGGTCTTTAATCTCTCTGAAGAGTGTGTGTATGTGATATATTAAAATATACATATTTTTCCTGTATATCTTAAAATAGTTTTTGTAATTTACATATTTTCTAATTTTATTTTAAAAAATATGTCTGGGTTAAATCCTGCTTGATCCTGAGACATTAAAAAGTATATATTGCTGGTTTGGATTTCCAAATATTTTATTTAGCATTTGTTCTGTTATGTTCAGAGTGAGCCTGGTTTTTAATTTTGTTTCCTTTGTCTAGTTTTAGTATAAAGGCTATACTAGCATCATAAAATGAGTTGGAATGTGGGGTTTTTAATCTCTTTTTTCCAATTTCTGGCATAGTTTATATTAGACAGAAGTTACTTGTTCCTTGAAAATTAGCTATATCTTTCATAAAATAGTCTGGCATGCCATGTTTTCAAACAGATAGCTATTTGACTGCTGATTTAATTTTCTTTTCTTTTTTGAGATACTTTTTGGAGATAACATATTTACTTAAAGAATTGCCTATTTTATATTTATTTTCAAACTTATTGCATAAATTATTCATAGAAGTCTTATAATTTTATTTATTTCATATTTCAGTAGCCAGTATGTTCATATGGCTCAAAAATCAAAAGGTTTTTGAAGTTTTCTTTCATCATTGTCCCCAACCCATCAATTCCCCTCCCTATAGATGAACCATTATTATTAGTTTATTTGGTATCCTTTCAGAGATATTTATTACCAATACAAGAGATATTTATTATATATACATTTTCTTGTGTTATTTTTACACAAACGGTAACATGATATATGTACTCTCTGACCTTACTTTTTCATTTAATGGTATATATTGGGAGTCTTTCCACATTAGTACACAAAAAGTATCCTCACTCATTTTACACCTGCATGGTATTTCTTAGTGTGGATGTATCACAGTTTAATTAACCAATCCTTCATTACAGAAATTTAAGTAGCATATACTCTTTTGTTATTAAAACAGTGCTTCCATGGGTAACCGGTACATACATTTTCCCATTTACGTGAGTATTTGTAGGGTAAATCCCCAAGGGTAGAAATTCTGGGTCAAAAGCAGTGTACATTTCTAATTTTCAAGGTATTAAAACGCCCTCTATAAGGGTTGTATCAATTTATATATCTACTAGACATGTAAGAGAGTGCTTATTTTCCCACAGTCATTCCAGTTAAGTGTTTTAATGAAACATTTGGAACTTTGCTCTCTGACACCTCATTCTCAGGGTGGATTTAATCTGCTTTTCTCTTATTCTGGGAATGTTAAGCCTCTTTTTCTGTATTAAAGTCTATGCATTCGTATTTCCTTTTCTGTAGCGGTCCATCTCATTTGCAACAATTTTATGGCATTTTTGATGCTTTTTCTCATAATCTGTAGGACCTATGTAGCTACGTTAAGGAAATTAGCTCTTCGTGATGTGTGGCAGTATTTTCCCCAGTTTATGAATTCTCTCTTTTTTTTTTGCCATGAATAGTATTTGAATTTTATATATTGGAATTTTTAAGACAATTTTTTTAAAGACGTTAGGATTTGTTATCAGATTAGAATTACCTCTCTACTCCAAGTTTATAAAAGATTTCCCATGTTCTTTGACTACTTTAGTGGTTTTATTTTTTCACACATGCATGTTTGATCCATTTGTAATTTTTCCTATTATAATGGGTGAGGTTTCGACCCAAGTTAAGTTTTTTCCTCACCAAGTGTTCTTTTCTGCGTTGATTTGAGTTGCCACTTTCATCGTAAACACAAACAACCTATACCTGGACTTTCTACTTGGTTTCATTGATCAGCCTGTGTATTCATGTTCTGCCATTATATTGTTTTAAATACTAACACTTTCTTTGATGTGGCTATCCTCCCTTCTTCGTTTTCTTTTTTTAGAAACATTCTGGATATACATATATATATTCCATATGAACTTCAGAATTACTCTGCGTAGTTTAAAAAAAACATTCCAGTTGATTGCATTAAATTTACAGATTCATTTAGAGAACATTGTTTATGCATTATAAATCAATGGGGCTTGGAACCAATTTGTTTTAGGACCCATATGTTAATTATCCCTATAGAAAAAATTAGAATTAGATCCCTACCTCAAACTAACATAAATCTTAGATGGGCTGAAGACCTAATAAGAAAAAGC